AGTTTGAGCTCTTTATGAGTAAAACTGAATAAGTTGTTAAAACTGATTGACTTCTGGAGTCCACCTTGCATCACGTGGACTCCAGAAGTCAATCAGTTGCAGATGAGCATGCAATGATTACCTTCTGAGAGTTTTGTTAAATTTTGGCCAGTGATTTATGCAATATTTTGCTAAAAGAAATAAAGTTTACACCATCAGTCAATGTCAAGGTTTTAATCTTGCACTATCAAGTGCTTGGGGTATATGTTCAGGATGACTCTCAGTTACTACCACGCCAAATTTTAGCTCACTTTCTTTACGGGATATTTTGCAAACAGACATATGATCAAACTCGCACAGACACTTCCATCATTACACACCTTTCTTGGCAGCAGGCAATAATACTTGTACATGACAAGGCAATAACTGTAAATGTCACTCATTCACTAGGTGATATTTTCCTTCTTCACTCAACAGAGTACAGGTTGCATGATGAATCCTGCAAATGGATTCTTAGAAATTACTCAGTGGACCACTTTGTGTAGGCGCAAATGCAATTCTCCTTCAGGTAATCATAAAGAGTACGTTTCAAAATGATTTATGATTTATTCAAAAGGTTTTGCAGCTTGTTTTTCAATAAAAATTATAGGGTGCTTATAAAAGATGGCGATGGCCTCCTGGTCTGATAACTGAAGCCAATGTTTTGGTACCTACAGCCTACATTCTATCATATGAACAGCAGGGGTTGCAATTGTGCCTGGAGCACAACGCAAGCAAAAAAAACAACAAAAGGTTTTCATGTAGATTACTGCTTTAATCTGAATTTTTAATCTCAGTAACATCAATGTATCACTGTAAAAAAGTCAGAAGTACCCGAAATCCTTGTTGTCAGAAATGCACAACTCTGAAATATGTCAGGATCGAACTCTGATGTTTGTGGGATTAGGTTTTCAAACACAGTCACGGTGCTTTAATCTGATGCGTGCACACACGTCTGTGTAAACAGATATTGAGATCCTGACAGCAAAGAGGCAGTGATCAGGAGCTTCCAATTCTTTACACAGCAAAACCCACCCCCATGTTTATCCAGATCACACTGCATTTTTAACAATGACTGAGAATGTCCAGAAATCTGTTTAGACAAATAATTCTTCATAAAACCCAACCAAAAAGTGTTTGTGTTGTTTGTTTTAGTGTGTTCAAACTCATGAGGCATTATTCAGTAGTTATGCTGTGTACAGTTAACTATAATAATCACTTACTTGTATGATCACAGAAAGCCTCAGGGTGGTACTTCTCAAGGGTATGGTTCTTGTCATGTATGGTTGCATCCATTTTTTTTCTGCACAACCTCAAAGTAAAACGCAGTAGCATTTAAATGCCATGCTAAATTTGTTTCTGAATTCAGTTCCCCTCAAGGTACAAAGCACACAGCAGGTTTTCACAATGGAGCAACTGTTGATATTCACAGAATCTGATACAGACATTATCCACAGCTGCCCTTTCACACATGCTCCAAACAAAAGAACAGTGTTGTGTGAGACCACTGAAACTCCTCCCAGTGGTTAAAGCTCAACATGATGCTACAGGTACACACACAAAATCACTTTTTTAAAGGGTGGCAAGGATAAAAAAAAACAGGTTTACTTGTTTTTGATTGCATCAAATTTGTTTAAAATCCCAATCTCACTCAGAGATTAGATTAGATGCTTCAATCTTTTTTTTTTTCTTTTGATTTCATTTCTTGTCGTCATCACATCTAGTTCTGAACGTTATTTCGTCTCTCTGTGATGAACTTTTCCAGCTTGCGGTTTTAGCTGATTCAGCGCAAAACCGTCCCATTACTCTGCAATTGGCTAATGACTAATGCAGCACCTAAAAGTTGGAACCACTTAGGGAATTATATAGGTTATTAATAGAGAGAGGGAATTAATTAAAATTAAAAGCTATTAGACTACGCTGAGGAGCTTCAAAGGCATGTGCACCGTGGGAGTGAATTGTAAGTGGGCATAAAGATCGCTGGCAGGCACAAATGTATCGTACCTCTCTCTCTCACACACACACACATGCACACACACACACATGCACACACACACACATGCACGCACACACACATACAGAATACCGAGAGAGATAACGGATGATAAACCTCTAAATCTTAAGAAAATCTAAATGTGACCTGGTAAGGTAGCAATAAAAAAGAAGCAATGCAACAGATAAATTGCAGCATGAAGCTGCACTCCCCTAACTATGACCCCTCTTTAACAGATTCTACTTCAGTGACGGAGTTTTGATTATGAAAGGGTGAATATATTCATTAAGTGGTTGCTGGTCAATAAAGGACCAGCTGGTGCCCCACTTTAACGAGTGTTAAATAAATAAAAACAAATATAATGGAAGGGAGTGGAGAAAGTGTCACCCTTTTTCCTCCATCTCACTTCATAAATGCTACATAATAATAATAAAAATAACTGTATTTAACATTAACTGGAAAGGCTAAAACAAATAAAAACAAGAGAGTAAAACTGAGACCATAACTGTACTGACTCATAATTATATATCAAATAACCAGGTAATTTTACAGATAGTCAAGGTTCTTTACTGTCATTCGCATCACATGTGGTACATGTGGTGGAACAAAATTGTGTACTCAAGGTCCCAGTTATACTCAAAAATAGAAAATATATAAAGTATACAAAACGAAACAGTATACAAGATCTAAGATATATGCTGAACAATAATTATGTAATACAATACGATGTATTAGCAGCCTGAACATGAGTCTATTGTGAGCAGATGGGTATGAATACAGCAGGTTAAAGGCAAAAAATCAGCAGCACAAAGTGACATATCACCAATTAAAGTGTCATTACAGTGACTTTTCTGGTTAGAGATTTATGAGACTAACAGCCTCAGGGTAGAAGCTGTTCCTCAGTCTAGTGGTTCTACACTTAATGCTCCTTAACCTCGTTCCTGGTGGGAACGGGGCAAAAAGTGTGTGTGCTGGGTGAGTGGGGTCCTTCATGATGCAGGTGGCCCTCTTCCTGCATCTGGAGGTGTAGATGTCTGTGATGGTGGAGAGACTGACTCCAACAGACTTCTGTGCTGCCTTCACCACTCTCTGCAGAGCTTTTCTTTCTGCAGCTGTGCAGCCTCCATGCCACACGTTGATGCTGGAGCACAGGATCCTCTCCACTGCACACCTGTAGAAGGAGGTGAGGACTGAGCTTCCCAGACCAGCTCGTCTCAGCCGCCTGAGGAAGTAGAGTCTCTGATGAGCTTTCTTGATCAGGCTGGTGGTGTTGTTGCCCAAGATGAGGTTGTCATCCAGGTGCACACCCATGTACTTGTAATTGGAGACCACTTCCACCCCAGATCCTCATATGTTTAGTGTGTGTGTGTGTGTGTGTGTGTGTGTGTGTGTGTGTGTGTGTGTGTGGAGGGGGTGCTCCTTCTGAAATCTACAGTCTTCCTCTTCGTCTTCTTCACATCAATGTGGAGTTTGTTCTTCCTGCATCAGCTCTCCAGGTCCATATTGAGTTAAAGTTTGTTGTGGTAGTAACTGCATGCCACCCTGCTACATAATCCATCAGTTCTCAACATATGTTCACATCAGTCTAAATGTTTCCCATAAAATGTGGCGGGTGATAAGCATTCCTTTAAGAATTGCATTTTTTTCATGTAATATTATTGCTCAGTGGATTACAGTACAGTGCCAGTAGCAGGTTTGCTCATAATCTTACTGTATTTTCTACTTCCTCTCTGCTCTCTCTGTTCAGTGTTTGTGTGTATGCATCCACAGCATGTGTCTGCTTGAATGAGTTGGCATTTGTCTTCTCTTCCCTGAAGCGAACACAGTGCGCAGACATACTGTTACCCTCATGTCTAATGTGTTTCTCTCCATGTGGGTGTAACTAGTCTTCCATTTTACAATGTGTTGATTTAATGCTCCTCACTGGAAAGCCTGTTATATGTTCTGAAGTGCCCTTGAGCCCAGCTCTGTGATTCAGATCTCATTTTTGAGTATTTAAAACAGTATTTTAAATAAAGTGATTAACATTGCTTTATAATTAAAACCTTCTATGAAAGTAACTTCAGTCTGATGGAAAAGTGAGAGTTATTAACCTTTTAGCTTTTCAGAATGGGGACATGATGATACACTTTGATCCAAATCTGATCGTTGGAGTTTCATTCGGAAACAAAGGTTTTTACCATAACATAGAGGCAAGAGGCAAAGATAAAAAATTTTTTTTTAATAAATAAATAAATAACAATATATACATATAAAAATAAAAATTATATATATATATATACAAAAAATATATATATATATATATATTTGTATATATATATTTGTATATACATATGGTAGAGCTGCTGCCTCTCAGCGAGTAGGTCATCCTGGCGCAATATCCAGGTGGGGGTTTTTGCATGTTCTTTCCTTGCATGCGTGGGTTTGCCTCGGGTACTCTGGTTTCCTCCCAGAGA